AGGTAGACCTATTTACATTGAAAGATTAGGAAAAGTTGATCCAAACAAACTTATGCAAGTAACTACGATGGATCGTTACATAAAATATCATGTCCGTGAATTTGAGAAAGCCTTCTCAATTAAGTTCCCGGCGTGCACCATTGCTGCAAAACGACACATAGATTCAAGCACTACTATCTTAGATGTTCAGGGCGTGGTATGTTGTCTGTATTTACATGCTTTTTCTTTAAATGTTACAATTTGTATATACGTGTCTAAGCTATACGTTTTTTTTGTTTAAATGAATTCAGGGTTTAAAAAATTTCACAAAGTCTGCTAGGGAACTTGTAACACGTCTGCAGAAGATTGATGGTGACAATTATCCTGAGGTTTGTTCCATTGTTTTTTCGAGGGGAATAATGTATTTACTAGATTAAAAATTTAGAAGTGACCATAACTGTAGTGGTTTACTTTTGCAGACCCTTTACCAGATGTTCATTGTTAATGCTGGTCCAGGATTTAGGCTTCTGTGGAGTACTGTGAAGTCTTTCATAGATCCAAAAACCACCTCAAAGATTCATGTATGAATAAACAGATTCTTTTTAGCTACTTATATCGATACGTTCTTTGGGTAGGAGGCCTTATTGGTTGGTTTGATGACATTTTGTTTTCATAGGTTCTTGGCACCAAATTCCAGAGCAAATTACTTGAAGTAATTGACGCCAGGTAATGTGGTCTTATCTTGAAGCATATTTTTAATTGAATAATATAGACCTTCTGTCGCTGCGGTGCACATGATATGTTATTTGGCTGTAATTTTCTCTCAACTTTGTTACTACCATATGCAGTGAGTTACCAGATTTTCTTGGAGGCACTTGCACTTGTGCTGAGCAAGGGGGATGTATGCTCTCTGACAAGGGACCTTGGAGAACTCCTGAGATATTAAAGGTGTGTTTTTTCTCTTATAAATTCCTTTTCTGTATCTGTTTTTGCTGAGATGACAACAGTTTCAACTGGCTTAGATTGCAATTGAATCCCTTGAGAGGTTGCATTCATTTATTTTCTTTAGAAATAATTATGGCATGCAATTTCACTCTTTTGCAGATGGTTCTTAATGGGGAGCCACGGCGTGCAAGGCAAATTTTTAAAGTGTCGAGCAGTGATGGAAAGGTTCTTGCTTATGCTAAGCCTCAGTTTCCAATGGTATGGCTGTTTATGTCTTAAAATGAATGAAATTTCCAATTTTTGAGCTTTTGGTTTCAATATATGACTTACTTTTAAACAGTTAAAAGGAAGTGATACATCTACTGCTGAGTCGGGATCTGAAGCTGAAGATATTGCTTCACCTAAGGCAGCAGTGAATTATTCACATCTGAGGTTGACTCCTGTTCGTGAAGAGGTAAACTTTATACAAATTCTAATCTTTGTAATAGTCTAAATTGCACTTTTAGTATCAGATGAAGTCACTTTTTATACTTTGTTATGGACTTGTTAAATTTACTTGATAAAATATCCATTTCTTTTGCTGTTGTGACCATATAGGTCAAGGTAACTGGAAAGACAGCCTATGCTGGTAGTTATTCGGGCTATGATGAATATGTACCCATGGTGGACAAGCCTGTTGATGCTGGCTGGAAGAAGCAATCATCCATTCAGAGATCTTTTTCTTCTAAAGGTCAGCACATTTGCTCAAGATAGCAGTTGTATTTCATCTATGTAACGTTTATCACTGCGCGTAAATTTCCCAGTAACTCTGATGTGTAGATTGATTTGCTGCTTTGAGGTTCATTTTGGCCATACTATGTTGGTGCCCCATACTAAATTCGTTGTTTTCAATCAGCTTCCTCTTTTGAAGCATTACCATCATGATATCCACATAATTTCCCCTGCCACAGCTGCCGGTAACTTATTACCTGTTAAACTTTTGACTCTTCAGGCTTGGTATGATAATAAAATCCTGTTTTTTGATCATCCTGCTGCTTCAGAGTTTTGCATTGTTTGCTAATAGAGTACATCTTTAAAAAACTCTTTAGTATAAGTATGTGGAAAAAGCCGTGGTCATGGAAAAGTTATCAGCTAATATAATGTGATATTAAATGTTGGCATTTGGTTTATCTTGTAATATATTCTTGTAAAAGTTAAGTCCTGACAGAACAATTCTTGTGTTCAATGCAGCGACACTTCCATTGGCGGATGCAAAGAAGACTCCAAAAGGAATCCGAGATCGTGTGATGATGGTTATTGTGGCTTTCTTCATGACTTTGCTCACAATTTTCCGCTCATTGGCTGGTCGTGTGACTAAAAAGTTACCTGATGCATCTCCTATTGATGAGCTTAGTATCAAAGACGTCACCTTAGATACAGTTCCACAGGAATCTCGTCCCCCTTCTCCGCCTCCAGCATTCACTGAAACTGATCTGATGTCCAATGTACTGAAGAGGCTGGGTGAGCTTGAGGAAAAAGTTGGTACACTTCAATCAAAGCCTTCTGAAATGCCATATGAGAAGGAAGAATTGTTGAATGCTGCTGTATGTCGCGTGGATGCATTGGAGGCAGAGTTAATTGCTACTAAAAAGGTAAGGCTGCTTAATTTGATATTCTGCCGTCTGACAGTAAAGGGTTACATATGATTTGCATAGCACATGAAATCCATTGCTTGTTGATGATTGCATTGAGAATGATGTATGCTGTTTTCTTAAAGATTGGACCGTGTTGTCCTTTTGAGCAAAAAAATTATGGTTCTTTCATCGTAATTTTCCCCAGTGTAATGTGTCTATTTTACATTGTTTGTCAATATCCTTTTGTCAATTTTTTCATCAATGCCAAGTTGCTTTAAAATCATGCAGCACAATGGAGTACAAGTTGTAGATTTGACCTGCCTCATGATGTTTTTTTTTATTTGCCAAGTCACTGTTATGGCCATTCTTAATGCTATAGCTTATGTTGTCATACCTAACATTAGGTGAAATGCATAATTGTTTAAATAAAACTGTATTTGTTTGATCCTTGTGTTGGTGCCAGTTTTGTTATTGATTAAGGATTATGATATTGGTGAATGCAAAGTCATACCTAATTTTCCTTGCTCGGTCAATAATCTTGGATACTATAGCTGACATACATGGTACAATTTGTAATGTGTGGACCGTGTGATAAGTGGAGTCCATCTAGGCTAGATTTTCCAGTTTACGTAGTATTTGATATTTCTTCCATGGACGTCTCTTATCCTGCAAACTGTTTGTCACTGCAATGGATCAATGATACAATATTTGATTTTCTAGGTGCGGACAATATTGTTAACTGAAATGGGATTTCGCTGGAAATTGAAAATTATCCCAAGTCTTGTAGTAGCTGCAATTTCCTGCAATTAAGAAAAGGGTGTCCATATACTGTAGTTGTGAAAAAGTAGGAAATACAGTGAATATGCCTATATGGTTTCTTGATTTTTTATGCGCTGCGACTCTTCGAGTAACTTGAAAATTCACATGTGCTTTTACAAACTTTAAAATGTTCTGCAGTTCCATGGTTTACATATAGGGTTCTAAGTCTCCTTATTTACAGGCTCTACATGAAGCTCTAATGAGGCAAGAGGAGCTGCTTGCTTATATTGATCGTCAAGAAGCAGCCAAGTACCAGGTAAAGCACCGACTATATATAATTATTCATTTGACTAGTTTACTGAAACTGCTGTATCTATTAATCGAGGCCTGTGTTCTTACTGTTATCGCCTCTATTTTACATTGGGTGCAGAAGAAAAAGTTTTGCTGGTGAGCGGAAGCATTGAAAGAAGATGAAACGGGAACGTTGATGATAACAAGAGCTGAGACATTTTCTTAACCTTACCTTTTCTATATGTAAAACTATATCTACTTCATATTTGACAAAACGAGCTACTGCCCGCAACGATGTAAAGAGATGCAGAAAATGTGTATGTAGACTTCACAGCCCCAGTTCCAACTAAGCGGAGGGTTGAAAAAGAATTACATAATGTTTTCTGAAAACTTGCGTGTGTTTATTTCGTTTTAAATACAATCCATCGAATCTCCAATATCGTTGCTATGTCTCTCCGGTTAGATGACTTTTTAGTTTTCATGTTATTATCCATAAACCCTCAAGATTTTTATTGTTTGATCTGGGTTTACGCATTCTCCCTGCTAAAATAAAAGTTGGGTTATCCTTTATAATAATCAAATGATGCCACCAAAAAAATAAATTAATAGGGAACATTCTTGATATGAAGCTAAATATTTGCTTTTTTAGTTCAATGATTGGAACAATAGGCTTCAACAGTGTTGAATGGAAATTTAAAATTTGATAAAATTTCAGCCATGATAGCCAAACTTGCGTTGCGTTTGCATATTGCTACCCTATTAAAGATGTTCGAAAACGCTCATTAGCAAATGTTACTGACTTTATCAGGCAGTTGTGCAGAAAACCTGAGGGGAGAAGTGTATGCAGTAATGCACCACAGAACCAATGAACAATTTTGTTAGTAACATAATGCAAGTTGTTTGACGGACTGAATCACTGAATAATTTTGGAAAATAAGGCGTTGTAGCTAATCTTGTAATATGTTTCAGGCTGCAAGAAATTAGTATTATTTGCTTACATGTATCTGTTAGAAGTTCCAAAACATCAGGCCTTTATTTAATTTCGACGACGTTCACAATAAAACACATCAAAAAGAAAAACAATACATTGGCATAGAGAAATAAAAAATAAAAAAACACAAATCCAAGATGACTGGAGAAAGGACATATGAGGCAATGATCCTCTTTGAGCTATCAGCTGTGGCCAATTGAGTTTAGGGAGTACAGTTAGCGGCCGATTGATTTAGGGAGTACAATAAGTGGCCGATGAGGGATTATAGGGTTGAGGGTTCTGCGCTAATTGGTCCGTAATGACAAGCCCTTTCTATTTTAGTAGGTATTGTCTTAATTAAGTAATCGTTTCCCTGTAAATTGTGGCACAGCCAACATGATGAGAAACTGAACTGCATAGTCCAGTTTCTTATCCACCAAAAGTCACAAAACACAAGGGGTCATAGTCTCATTGAGTACAAGTGTCCGCTGAAGTCATTTTTACGATGTACAAACTTTTCAGAAGTAATATCAAAGAAAAAATATAAGATAGATAACTTTGGTGATAGTATATTAGTCATATACAAAGCAACAGGCAAACATCGAGGGGGATAGCGGGGGATATAACTCGCAATCGCCTCCAGGTTAGAGACTCTTCGACTCTTAATATTACAGCAAGGCAGCGGACAGTTTACAGACAACTCACTTCTACTATCTCTGACCAGAAGAACTGATGTGCTCAAAAAAGGAACTGCAGGTGCAACATAAGGAGAAGAAATCAGTAACTCCAAATTGTGCTGCAAGGAAGTTATAACAAAAATGAAATGAATACAAATGCATACCATCTTCTTCTTCTTTTTCTTCTTTTCGAGGAATGCTAACAGCTCTCCCTGTCTTTGCATTGATTCCTCAAGAAGCTGCAACAGGTCATTTTTGTCACAATTTGATTTTTCATATAAAAAACCTCTCCAAATTCTATGTATTAGTTTATCAAACTTATGATACTTGTCAGAAACAGTTTATTTGCCTGATTAATTAGGTGACTAATTCTAGATATATGATTAACTCCAGCTTGGCTTGAATTAAGGACACTTTTGATATGTTGCTCTTGTTAGATGCCTTAAGGTTGCTAGACAATTTATACAGGAATGAATTCTTGTTCTTAGCCTAGGATATTTTTCAGAAACAACTGCAGGTGAATTTTTGTCAATATTTCAGTCTTAAGCTCAGAAAACTATCTAGGATTTAAACTTAATGATTAAGATGTATAAAATACCTTCTTTGTTGCGGAAAGTTCCTGCTCGAGGACTTCTACACGGTTCATTGCATTGTTGAGCATTTCCTCTTTTTCGGGAGGCATGATTGCTGGTTTTGCACTAAGGGAAATCACCTTCCCTTCCAATTCACCCATGCGCTTCATCATTGCAAAATACTCAACCTCAGAGATTGCATGTCCAGGCAATTTATGTGAGTCCTTCACAGCAGACTCATCACAGTAAGTATATAAGGTTGCATCAGTGAGCTTCTTGGGCATGTTTCGAGTCAATCTGATCATCGTTACAATGCCCATCATCACGGACATGAGACCAGTGACTAAATGGTTGCTGAATTTCTGATTAGAACCATCAAAACTGTTCTTTGATGGTAAACAACCTGCAGTTTCAGGAAGTAAAGATCAGTAACAGAATGCAAACCTTTTAACTCTCCTATAAATAAACATGCTTCAGTTACTAATTTACTACAACTATTACAGAAAGCATCTGTTAGGCAGAATAAAGCAACAACAAAAAAAATCCACTACACCTAGTGAAGTAAATCCATAGTTGCAAAATAGAAACTACATAAATTCTATAATGTGAGTAGACTTATATACTTATTTTACTACTTAGATAAGCATATAGATTACACCATTTGTAGGTCTCGTGACATAGTAGTCATGTACACATTTTAGTTCAACTAGTTTATATTTCAGAAAAGGCCAGGCATTAATTCTTTTCGCTCCTGGCTTAAATCCTTTCCCTTTGGGTGCAAGTCCATTAATTAAAGTAGAGACACATTTGCAAAATTTCATGTCAAAAGAGGGCAGAGATGCCGATACCTTTGGTCATGGCCAGCTTGTTCATGTTGATATCAACAGGTTTGCTCCACGATTTTTCCATGTCCTTGTCTACTATTGGGATGAAGTTGTCATATGGGAAGGGACTAGGTGCATCTTTGCACATAGGTTCCTGCAAATAATAGACACAAAAACTAAATTAGGATTCTATAAACAAAGTTGTCACCTTTCTAAATGTTGTGATAGTATATACTTTTTTTATTTTCTATTATTCCCTCATTTGAATTAAATGACGGGGAATTACAACTACTGTAAAGGTCATTCTGTGTGTTATATACTCTTAATCATTAGAGGTTGAGACAATGTGGATGTGACAACTAATACAAGGAGGGAGTAAGTTTGAAAGTATGATCCTGTTCATTATCGTCTAAAGAATGGTACGGACTATATAGAAGAATTAACATCAAGAAATAGTTATAATTCATTATCAGTCATCACTGCACTGCAGAAATTTCTGCATAGTATCTGTTTGCTGCTGTTAGCTACTTACGGAGTACAATACTATGAAGTCTGTATTACAATGAATGACATAGTGACACTTACTTTGGATGCATAATACTGGAAAGCATCTGAGTCGCATGAGTTGCATCCCTTCACATTATGAAAACAAAGAAGCGAAGTTAGTAAATATGCTGTACATGACTACATACCCCTACAAGACATTTTCAGTTTGGAGATAAGTACATTCCCCAGAAGTCAGAAGACTACCTTTGGTTTTGCCATCTCATCTTCACCAATGGTTTTCTCGTCTATCACTGGGAAGGGACCCCTTACGTTGCATTTGGCCTCACCATTACGAACCATCTGCAGAAGCCGGAACAATAGGAAGAAAAAAAAAAAACCAGTTAACACGTGAAAGAAAGATAATGTAAGTTCAACTGGAAGAAATGATGTAAAGAGATTTTCTGCTATAATCGAACCTTCATTATCTCAGGATCATTCCATGGCCCTTTATCAGATTTCAAGCAGCCACCTTTTTCTGCACAGGTGCAGGTACCGCCCAAAAATTCTGGCAGTTCACTGTAATCATATGAAAATGAGGCTTCGTTAGTATAAAGATGATGCAACTCCAACTATATACAGAGTAGTTTAAGCCATCTCTCGTTCTATCAAACAGTCACTTTCTGGATTTTGTAAACTTATTTCATTCTAACTAATGTTAGAGAAGTAAAATTTTGGAGTCTGACACTTGCAATACTTAGTGTTAAATACTTAATAACAATTCCTAATAAATATGACCTATTATGCTTTATGTAGGAACGGAGGGAGTATAAATCAATACAGTAACAGATAAGAATAGTAACCTGGCATCAATAATCTCAAGCAGTTTGCTTTGGTACTTGTTGCCCAGGACCTTTGCACAAATAAATTAATATTAGGCCTAAAATCCTCAATCAAAAATTACAGTACAGTAGAACAGGAAGAAATATTTAAGATATTTATTGAGTACTTACATGAATCTTCTGGGTGGTCTTAGGATCAAGAAATGACTTAACGGTGCTCCACAACAGCCTGAAACCAGATCCTGCATTGATGATGTACATCCTGCACAAGGTCTGAGCATAGCGAAACATATGTCAAATTTTCTTGTTTCTCAGTTTGGCAACCAATCATACCATAAGCAAACTAGTAAAACTTGTGTATGGAAGCTAGAAAATTTGTACCTCAGGGTAGTTGTCACCATCTATCTTTTGTAGGGTCTGGATGAGTTCCCTTGCTGCCTTGTTGAAGTTCTTAAGCCCCTGCACATCACACATACTAAAGATTAATTTTCGGTCCTGGTCTTAATGCTTTGCTCCCTCTGGCTAGTAATATAATTTCTTTTAATTTTAACTTGGGTTTTAATAGAAATAACACTTCAACTATAAATTTATGTTACGGTACTGTTCATCTCATACATACCACTCCTTGAACATCCAGAATAGTGGTACTCTGATCGATGTGTTTCTTTGCAGCAATCGAACAAGCTGGAAACTTATCAATAAAGGTCCTCTCAAACTCTTGGACGTGATATTTAAGATATCGGTCCATGGAGGTGACTTGCATCAACTTATTCGGATCAACCTGACCCAACTTCTCAATGTAAACTGGCCGGCCTTCCTTGTCAACTCCATGGTGTCCTTGAGGATAGTATTGCTTGACTTCTTCAACTTCCTTGAACTCAAAATCCTATACAGGTAAATTGAAAGGTATGGCAAGGCACTTAGAAAACATCACTACATCACTTGAGACTAGATGAGTACTAAACATGTCAAAAACTGACCCAATCTGAGCCCAACCGAAGAAAACTTGTCTAAAACAGAAAATCTTGAAGATAGGTTAAAAAATTCTCTTCAAACCCATTAAAAATAGGCATAAGATTGCATCTAACCTGAGAACCTGACCTGAACAAAATCCGATCAAATTTGAAGAATGAAATTCACAAAGGCTTATTAAAATTTAAAAAACAAAAAAAAAAAAAAAAAATCTAATCAAAACATTAGATCGATCAATCTAAAGATTCTAAACCGGATGACCCAACTGATCTGTTTGATTCAACTGACAGAAACATATTGTATATTATAAGAACATCATTCCTCAGAATATACAGTATATACCTCCATGATTGTGTCAGCACCAAAATCCTTTCTCCATTGGATCATGTCAGACCACATTTGCTTTGACTTCTCAATATCAAACTTCCTGGCCTTCAAGAATCTGTCAAATTATACATTATTTGTTATCAACTATTAAAACCAAGAAAAATTCAAACTAATTTCAGACAAATTGAAATAATATGTCTAGGAACAATTTTGAAATCAAGTTAAAATAAAGATGGAAAATGTTACCTAAGCAGCATGTGATAATCATCATGCTTTGAAGGCAGCAATTCTTCCAAACTAAGGGCCTGACGAAATGCATCTACTGCCTTCATTTCCTCTGCATCATGTTCATCTTCGAAAGCAAAAGACATGACCCTGCTGTTCCTTCTACCTTTCTTTGTCAGCGAGTTTCTAAACATGCTTGAGACATTAAAAGCCGCCTTCTTGAAGGAACCAAGCTTCGTTCTCTTCTCATCATCGTAGAAATCAATGTCAGGTTTCTCAAGTCCTGAGAAAGGTAACGAAAATAGCCGAATAAGATCAACTTAATAGCATATCAATCAAAAGGCCTACATTTTCATCAGAAGCATAAATTGTCAGAAACTCAGAATAAAGCACCTTGAGAACAAGAGAGAAAAAAAAAAAAAAAAAAAAAAAAAAAAAAACACTTACCCGGTTTAAGGGACTGCGCAACAGATCCAGACATTGTTTCGGTCATGGTCATTGCTTCTACACTCATAAAACGCGGAAAAAACTCTGCAAAGAATAGACAATCAAACACTCATATCACATTGTGATGCCAATATATACAAGTACCATATAAGATTGATTTTCCAGTTATTTTGTTCCATCTATATAACATATTTGTGAAAGATCATGTAGGATATTGATACACATAAGAGCGCAAATCATTTGAAATAGCTTCAAGATATATTTGTTCATCACATTTGATTACTCTGACCTCAAGTATACCTTTACAAAATCACAAGGTGAAATCACCATCAAGATCAACAGCTCTCAGATATCAGTATCATAATTTGTTACCCCAAAATATAACTTAGTTAATTTTTTATAATGGATCAAACACATTCAATAATAGAGGTCAATTACTTACACTACATAATCATGGAGTAATATAAAAAGGATTTATCAAACAAATCAACACAATAGTAATGTTATTCATTGAACAAAATAACCAACTTGACATTCAATATTAAATCTCGTCTACATCACTACTTTACGTGACTCTCTATGACATTCATTCAATCTCGTCTACATCAACGCCATATCCATACACGTACCCAAAAAAAAAAAAAAAAAAAAAAAAAAAAAAACCCAAAAGCCCTTAGGAGATTTTAACATTGTAGAAAAAATCATTATCAGCTCAATAACACCCCCAAAAAAAAATCTACAATTTCATAAGCTAACAAGAAGAAATATACCAACTTAATGCAGAATTATCTCAATTGAGCAACAATAAATGCAAAAAATTGTTGCTTCTTCTTCTTTTTTTTTTTTTTTTTTTTTTTTTTGAAATAGATAATTATGTAATTAGGATAAGAAGAAGAAATTATTACCTGGAAACAAAATATTTTTAGCAGCAAAAAAAAAAATGAAGGGAAGAGAGAGAATTTGGAGGGAGTTATAGAATTGCTAGGCTCTTCACAACGGCTAGGAGACAACTCTCATAGTAAGACAGCATAATCATATATTTTTTTTTTAATAAAAATAATTTTTGATATTGTATTTGATACAGATGTTTTTATAACACCATTGACATAGTCTTAGATTTATGTAAATTCCTTTTCTGTAATTTAGTCATTAAAGAGATAGGAAAAAGAGAAAGGCATAAAAGTAATTAAATTAATAAAGAATAAAAGATGGGAGAACTAAGACGGCTAAGTGAGAAATGCAAGGCACTCCGTCCATATTAATGATCATTTTCAATGTTAACAGATGGGAAAACTAAGCTAGTATTGATTTCGAGCATGTACGTATTTTGTACGTATCATTTCCCTCGAAATATTTGTACTTTGGCCGAACTTGAGTTGCAATAAGTTTCTCCAAGCTGACCTTATATCTACGGTTTAATAGTTTTTGATTTTGAATAAATCAAAGTTAGTTAATACTTTTGATGTTGAGAATGATGATCATATTTGTCAATTGTCTTTTTAAGAAGTTTCTTTGCCTTCTTCTCGTTAAAGTGCCCGCAATCTTACCAACCGTGGCCAACTACCTACCTAGGTACTAGCCATTCTCTTTTATCCCTTATGATTTTGCCATACGAAAATCATGGAGTATTATTCCTTCAAACATTAATAATCTTAAGCATAAGGTAATGGGCATGGACCGCATGGTATTAAGATAAGGATGCAAAATTATATGGAGTACCAGTCTATGTAAAAGCATCGTTTATAAACATTGGCATGATAAATATGCGAGTTTAAAAGATCACCAAAATATGTTTGTTTTCGCATTTGTGTCCCTATTTAGTTTACACCCTATCGGTAAATACCAACATATTTCGTATTTGAAAAGGCATTATCATATTGTATTTATCAATATTAATGCTCAAAATTGATTATTGGAAACCATGTAAAATACAAGTGGGTAAAACTTAGACAAAAGATAGAAATTGATTGACATTATTATCAGATGAAAAGTCAAAAACTTTGATAAGTACATTTATTCCAAACAAAAATTCCACCAAATCTACATATATCCATAAATTATCAATGTTGGTAATTTCAAAATTTCACTTCCAAACCTCCAATTGATTCTTTCTCAATTTGACTAGAAGAGTGGGCAATTAATTCGCGACAAGAAATCCAGGATACCGACAGCATGGAAGAGCCAAATTGAGGCCAACATGTAATGTTTGTATAGTAACACAAAATATTCAAGCATATTATATAATTAGTCATTTATTATAAGGTAGTTAAATTTGATGATGAAATTCAGAAGAATAGTTCCAATTCTCCAATTATGTTTGAGGTCCTCCACTAAGTATTGGGTCAGCCTCGTTACATCTAATCATAAACTATACTGATTATGGCCTGCCCAAGTCAAACAAAGGAAATGCATGTTATAAGTAAGATCTTTACTACTACTAGTATTCATTAAATCATAAATAGTTGATGCCTACTCAGCTACTTCTGCCTATTGCTTGGCCTAAATCTATTTCGAAATCAGTTGTTATATTGTCTCAATCTCTTATAAATATAGAGTAATAATTTTATTCTATATTAAAAAAAAAAAAAAATCTTTCATATGATTAATGCATATACAAATTTTCTCATTAATAGAAAATTTGATCATATAGCATTAATAGCTTTAATATATAATTTTAAAAGCAAGGTCAAATTTTCTATATATATACTTCCACCGTTTAATATTAGTTAATACATTTTGTGATTGGTACAAAAAAGAAATTATAGTCATGTAGGATCATATTAAAACTTTCTCAATATAATGTATATTTTTCTTATTACACATCACTTTTTAAATGTTTTTTTCTTATTAGTAACTAATTGAATTAATAATGTTTGCAAACATGTGTCGATCAATCGATGACAAACATGCTTAAAGAAATGTGTCAACTAATATGAAAATGGAGGAAGTAATAATGATGATATACAACTATACCAGTACTCCTCCGTTTCATATAATTATAATTACCGTGAAGGATTACCTATATTTATATATCAAGCTTTTAATTAAGTAGTTTAGAAAACTACTCATTGCCTCCAACCTGCCCACCTACCCTCCTTTTGTTTACGATAGAGTAAGATATTCAAGTAATTAATTTATTGCCAAAAGCCCAAAATATGTCCTCATAATGTAAAGCAAGAAAAATTGCATTTAATATTTTTTGGAAAAAAAGAAAATTACATAATTGTCTGCAAATAACTGGCACAATCTAAATGTTTCAGCCAAAAAAAAAAAAAAGTGTTATTAATTAATATTAATATAATCATAAAGATATTAGCTAAAGATTGTAATTTAAACCAATTATTGGTGTATATGGTGGGTGAGTGACTTTGAGAGTAAGAAGCAAGCTTACACGTCATATATCATTATATCAATTTTTTTTGAACTTTTTAGTCAATGATCACAGCTTAAATATACAGGTACTACTGAGTAATATTAGCACACACAAAAAAAAGGGGTATTCAGCAATATTGATTGGAACCTATATTAGTTAAGAATTTTAAGTGCTTTATGTAGTCATTGCTAGTTAAATATAGGAAAATTTGTCAGAAAGGTTTTTTTAAATAGGTCTTTTTTATTATAAAGGTCTTTTTATAAAAAAGGTGGCATAAAAGGTCGTTTTATCACACTTAGGTTGTGGAGAAAGTCCTTTGACTGGGTTCCGACCATTGACTTTTTTTCCAGCCAAAAAAAAAGTCACGTGTGTTGTACATGAGTACATGACTACTTAAAATCCTTTTTTCCCCTTTTCCCCACTTTTCCCTCTCACTTAGTTTGATTTGTCATCAATTTCCTTCCATTTTAATTTGAGGGACTAGAATTGGAGTTTGATGATTTTTTTTTCACAAAATAGGGTTCGCGTTGAGGTTGATGATGAAGAAATTAGGGTCTTATAAGGGAAAAGGGGAAAGATGGATTTTTGGGCAAGACACGTGAATTTTTTTGGCCAAAAAAAAAACAACTGGTGAAATCCAGTCTAAGACCCCCGTCACCACTTAAATACGATAAAAGGACCTTTTGTGCCAACTTTTTTTTATAAAAGGACCTTTACAACAAAAAAGCCTACTTAAAAATATCTTTGTAACAAATTTTCCTTAAACCTAATGTGTTACATAACATAAGTAAGGCCCCTTTTACCAAGTGCCCAAGTCTACAAAATAGCTAGAAGGCCAACTATTGTTGTGTTGCACAAGAAAGTGCTCTTTCTCTAACTGTTCGTAGAAGAATTTGATAAAACATAAACACGACTCATTATGTATACTACATATATTTTAAGAATTTCTTCCCTAGTAGGTTTAAATTGAGAACTATCGATGGGGTATAGCCGTATAGGATATACTTCCTTTGTTTTTTTTTTTAATAAGTGTATGTAATTGTACAAGTCAACGTTTGCAATGACAGACGCATTTGCCAATACATAAGTTTGACTATTAATATATTTAATTTTCTTATAACATGAATTATAAACAGTTGAAAAGTTAAAAAAAAATAGAGAATATTTGATGCACAAAAATGAAAAATAACTTGTAACAAAAAAACTTTCATAAGAGGTGAACAATATTGAATGTATTATAAATTTATAACCCTTTCATAAGGTTTTAGTTGACTTTAGCATATTGGTGAGTCCAATTGTACATTTTTTTTTTAATAATAAGAAAAATAAAATCATTAGGAAACCCTAATTATACATTTGTACATGTAAGTGTTCATGTAACTAACATTCCAATATGTACAGCGTAAAACACAATTCATAATATGGAGCAAGTCGAATACATGTACATTATTTTGCTATTACATGCTTAATACACACTGTTATTTGTTGCATGACAGCATGCTGCTCAGTACGTAAGAGTGTTATAATCTCTTTTTTTTTGGTGAAGTGAGTATGATATAATCTAAGAGTATGATGATATTACCATGCCTGTTCACGGATCGGATATCAGAAATTGATATTCAAATTCGATCCGAAAATTTCGGATATCTAAAATTTTCGGATCGAATGCTTCGAATATCCATTATCCAATATTAAGTAAAATTGGTTATGATTATTTTCTAAATTTCACTAATTTTACCGCTTTTTTATCGCTAAATTGTACAACATATTTTAACAAAATAGTAGTCTTTTTGGAATAAATATTATCATCAAATATATTAAGAATATTATAATAAGTTAATAATACAAGGTCAGTTTTATATGAACAATTTAAAAATTAAATATATATATTTCACTATTTCAACCTTTATATTTCGGATATCGGATATCCGAAATTTTGAAAATCAATATCCAAATCCGCATCCGATATCCGCTTTTTCGAATCGGATATCCAAAAAATCAGATCGGTTGCGAATTGGATTATCGGATTTTTGGATAGTTTTGTATAGGCCTAGATATTACATTACCACACATTATAAAGTGTCAAATGAAAGTTTACATGTCATGTGGTGTTATCTATGGTTCAATGTTTCTTATTTTATGTCATCAACTTACATTCAATTAATTAGAAATGTGGTTTATAACTAATTCAATCATGCAACCTCATGGCCTAGCACTAAAAGTCTTACTAGCTAGCTATTACTAAGATAGTAAGATATGTCATTATTTATTTACAGAAAACCAAAAAACAAAATTTAATACTCCGTGTTTGGGTCCAATTTAGTCCAATTGGGCCTGGTCACTGAATGATCCAATTAAAAGCCCAAGGCAAAGGTTCAACTCTCCAAATATGCTAAAGTCAAAAATCAACAT